TGCGCCAGTAGCGATTGCACGCTTGAGCGATGGTCACGCATTTTTCGAGCGGGTCAAAGCCAGCGACCGCGCGAAATTCGGCCACAAATTTTTGACATCCGGCTTTCAATAATTTAACATCCGAACCGCAATATTCGATCAACTCACGTTTTAGATCGTACACGGCAGGCGGTTGACAACGGGCAGATTCTTCTCTGTACCACTCCTCAAACTCGGTCACTTTTTTCTCTGACATGGACGCGGGTCGAAATGAATGCGATCAGGTAAGGCACCCACATATTCCGCATGGTTGGGAGTGTGAAAAGCGTGTGGGAAAAACCCTCTCTTTAATTCTTCGATTCCAAACGTGCTGGAAAATTGGGCGAGCGAAGATGGAATGAAACAGAAGGAATCTTTAAATTGCACTCTTGCATATGATAGAGACAACTGTTTCGTTCCGTTAGGGATCATGAATTCAAATCTCCGGTGTTCTTTTAAGAGTTGTGCTTGTAAAAAAAACACTATCGTATCCTTTGAGCTTGTGAAATATGCATATGACGTCACGGCTATTTTCTTTAGGAATCGGGTGGGTGACCGTGCCGTAGAACAGGGTATCTAAAAATTCCAAAAATTCCCCAGTGCATTCTGGACCGTAAAAGGTGTGGCACTCGTCCGAGTCCCCCTTTTCGGCGCGCACTAAGATGGGGACATGGGTACCGTCAGACTCGATCATCGCTTCAAAATCGGCGTAGACAAAAGTGGGTGGGTCTATGTAAGGGCTAACATCGGGATTTTGTCGCTTCTGTTTTTTGTACAGGTCTTTGGGTTTTTTCACGGGCTCGTCTTCCTCTGCTTCCACGCCTTCGATGTAACACTGATGCGATGTCAAATCATGACATCTTCTCTGCATGCGCGACATCGCCCGGTATAACATTCATGCGGGTCGTCAGAAGGCGTGTATTCTATGCAACACAGCTCGCAACGCACCCAGCTAGCGCAAATACCTTCCGTAAGATGGTAGGCCACAAATCTCTCATCGTAAAAATGGCGATGTGGAAACGTGGGATTTCGTCCTGTGTGAGTTAGTTCAGGCAAATTTTTGCTTCTAAAGCTCCTCTCACGGACCTACCTTACCCTGCAGGAGATCTTTTATATCCTTACACAGGCTGAGTATCTAATGGCATATCAACAAAATGCGTCTAAGTTTTCGTAATACTGTCCAGGGGGCATGATACTGAGACAAACATCTCTACAATATAACTGATGAAGTTTTTGTTTGCTAAATCATTTTTCGCCGTAGACTAAATTCCATTTTCAAAATTTTCAAAGTAGTCTGTTTGAAACAGCTTCCTGGAGTTTCGACAAGCAAAGTTATTGCTTAGGTATAGGGTATTTCTCAAATGAAGGAAACGATAACGGAAATAAATAATTCTCATACTAGCTTGATGATGTTCGTCTGTATGGCACTTTTGTGGTGCGCGTAGTACTGAGAAGATAGATACTTTAAACAAGCGAATTCTTAGAGTTATCTTGCAGGATTATAATTCTCCCTATGACTCTCTACTCTCGTTTCAATTGAGG